TAGACTTTGGGTATCAGCCGGAGCGAACAGCCTTCAGGCCACAATCCAGAAAACTCGTTTTCAAAGTGTTTCGTTGTCGGAATATGGTATAAATTTTATTAGAAAGGTTAAAATCAGGTTAAAATGAATTGGTTAATTTATGTACCTCTAGTGTTAAATTTTTTTTATTAAACTAAAAAAAATTGTTTATACAACGCAAAAAACATCAAATCAATTAAATATATCTAATCTATTAAATCTTAACTTCATTATGCTAAACTTTTTCATATACATTCGTCGTGTTTGTCAGTACTTAATGAGCTTAAAAGATATTAAATTATTTATTTGTTGCCATTAAAAGTAGATATGTGTGAGTTTCGTTCGTTTCATGACACCCCTTTTTTGGTCCGTAATATAAAAAGCTCACTTAATTTAGGATCTTAACAGTATGTTTAAATATAAATATGTGTATGTACATATTTGCATTTACATATATTTGTAAAGTAACCAGTACCTACTATGTATTTCCTGCCCCTGTTTGTGCATTTAATTATCTTTTTAACTCCTCAGTATCTTAAATATAAATTTATTTCGAGTACACACGCAACACACAAAAACACTCGAATACTCGAATCTAATTTAAACATTATTTTCTAAAAGTTTTTCCAGTTTGGGCTCTTCCGATAGGGATTTTTTCGTTTGCCCTTTTTCCTCTTCGGCTTGGCTTGGTCGGTTAGCAACTCGTCGTTCGAAAATGGATATCACGCTGATGTAGAAGAAGAAGAAGAAAATTGTGTAAAAAAGTGTTAGTCAAATTGTCATTCGCCTTTTCGAGATCAGATGGATTACATATGAGCAGGCCTGGGCGACGCCGACTAAGCAGTACCGTCGCAGTAACGGTGCGTTTTCGTATACACGCAGTTGAAAGTGAAAATTAATTGCTGATTCATAAAAAATCGGTTAAAATTCACTACGCTAAATTACACTGCATTTTCGCCTTCAACTTCGTGTATACGAACACGCAACGCTACCCCGACGGTATTGCGCAGTAACGTCGCCCAGGCCTAGTTATATCTAAGTATAGAGATATATCTACATATATTAGCGTTGTCCATTTTTTTCCAGCCACGCCTCAAAACTGAGAAGTATCGAAAATAGGGAGATCCTTATTTTTTATTTTATTTTGAAATTGCTTAACATTTAAAGGTGTCGCCAGAGCGTGGAAGTTTTCTATGTATTTTATATGCTATAGAATCGTTAAAACCAAATATGTATTGTTTTTATCGAAAAAGAATAAGAAGAGAACGAAAAATGACACTGAAGACGACACAACGCCGTAACCGGTTTGTCTCCTAAACGAATTTGACAAAGGATGGCGGAAAATCGTTCCACAACACATCTTACTTAGAGATAATATTATTGGTCATGAAAAAATTTTGCGTTATAACTTTATTTTTTTGAAGATTTCTAGATTGTTTTTTTTTTAACGATTTTATAGATATCTTAGAAAAAATTGCACTTTCCTTTAATAAAATACATGAGAAACTTCAAAGCTCTCTCGGCCGATTTCAAATAAAAAAATATGGGCTTCTTCTTTCCATGTTCTATAATTTTGGGAGGTGGCCGCAGGAAATTTATAAAAAAATGCGATTTTTTTGTGTATTTTGGGACCAACTTAATGTACATATAAGTAGTATCATCGTTAGAATAATAATTTGGTATACAAAATTTCTGCATGCCTTAAAGCTTGTTTCCATTTTATTGTACTTGGACGACATAATTGCCGCCATATTTGGTGTCAAATTTATTATTTACTCGCTGGGGTTTTGCTGAGGCTCTAATAATTTGGCATTAAGATGCTCTTTTTCGCGCACATTTATAATAGGGGGTTTTCACTTAACCGACGACCCATACCATTGAACTTGCGATAGTGAAAACAAGCCTTTAGCGACAAGCGTTGGACGTTGTCGAAGACATTCCGATTTGAAAATATCTTTCGAAAACTTACATCATTACAACAAAGCTCTCCCCATAGAGTCCAGAGCTAATAAAATTAAAGAAACTTGGAAACGTTTGAAGAGTGTGGCTATATACGAAAGTATATAAAGGTGCTGCAATTAAGGGCGAGAGTGTTTGCAAACATGCCGCCAAGGAATAGACTTTGCCTAGAAAATGACAAAAAGCATAATTTTCGATTTTACAATCACTATGCACTGAAATATTTACCAATTTCATTTGATGGCACCGCTAAAGATATAATTGCTTGCAACATTGGAGTTGTAATGCCTGATAAAATTCCAAAGGACGATGCCACATACATCTGCCAAAAGCTCTGAGCTAAAGCACGGGTTAGACATTCCAGCATATGTCCGGCTAGACCCATCAAAGCGATGATGCCAAAGGGTATTTTGAAAATCTGAAATTCCGTATACATATATAGGTATTATTGCAGATTTATGATAAGAGCTGGAATAATTTACCTTTCTTAACACCGTAACTGCAATACTGCAGCCTACCATTTTAATTGTTATTTGCGTAGCATTGAAGTAAGTGTACTGTTGCAATGTTACATTAAATTTGTTGCGTAAGAATAAGTAGAATACACCATGTTCGCCGTCTGTAAGTGTAGAACAAGGTAAGCATGGCAATTATAACTACATACTTGTACAACAACTATACACAATTAGGGTATTCACAAGTCATATTAAATCATAAAGTTTTAAAGTCATAAAATGTTTCAATAAAAAATAACAGTTAAAAGGTTCTTCGGGGATTTTCAACAGCAATAAAATATTTCCGAACTAATAGAAAATATACAATTATGCAGGCCCGATTAAGCCCTATGAAATACCTGAAACCATTTTAATCGTTATTTTACTTTGAAAAATTTTTCGATTTAAAGACATTACGACGCTTAATACATCTTGTGAAACCGCCTTATTATTTAACTACTTTTCATACTCACGATGAACGAAGCTCGACACCATTAAAATAGAAATCGTACAACCAATGATGGCACGTCCATAATTTGGACGACGCGCCACACAAGTTTTCACAAGGTCCTTGATAAGTAGGATATCGAAGAAGCGCTTGGCTTTATGTTTAAAAAAAAAAAAAAAAACAGTTATTTCAATTTTAATTTAGCAATAAAAAATGATTTTTACTTACCGAAAAGCTTGTTTTCTCAACATCTAAACTTTCACCAATAAAAAAGAAAACATACAGCAAGCCGATTAAGATGAGAAGAGCAGATGTGACGCACACCATTGTGACACCAGTCAGACGCAGCAAGTAACTGCTCAATACATTACCAAATACCAAACCAGTACCCATAGCCAAATCAACGTAGAACATCCTGAAAACCATAAAAATTATATAAAGTTTGTAAGTATGTAGCTCCCTTTCAGCCTCAATTTCGTACCGCTTTGCTTTATTTTCCATATCGGCTACATCAGACACATAACAGATGACAATAGTCATCACTGTGCTACCACCACCAGCCAGCGTGGATGGAATGCTGCCTATTAAGTAAAGCCACGGATTAAGTGACACCAGTTTGGAAATGCTAACCAAAATTGTAGTTATTACGTGACCGATAAAGGAGGCTAGGATAGAAAAAGTGCTGATTTATAAGTAAATTTCAAAGTTATTTTTGGATGGTTGTATGTATGTATGTATGTATTTATAAGTACCTGTAAAAGCCATCAACAACACTGGTCGCCGTCCAAATTTATCTGACCATGGTCCCACGAAGAGTACAAGTATTCCCGGCCACACATTGTGCAAGATTGAATTAGTCATGGTAATTTTGGCCACATAAGGTTGTAGATGATTTTCGATTATCTAAAAATGAGTGGAGGCATTCAATTTTGAGTTTTAGAGTTGCATTTTTGTCCATTAGACGCCTATTTACGACCATAAAGGCAAGCTAAGCAGGATGATTTGCTCTGCAAATGGTTAGACCTGCTATTTAGCCGAGCTTCTTCTCCAATTTGTCGTGTGCGTCCTGATGTTATAACACAACTAGAGGGATCAGGCAAGGCTACTCCCCGGAAATTCCACGATTCGATAAGGCAGTCGGCCGGAGTGGGGGGAATTATGATTTAATAAAAGAAGGAAGGGCAACCTGGCAGCTGGAGCTTCCACTTGCAGCCCTAAAAAAATCGTGGAATTTCCCGCGAAGTGGCTTCTATGGGAGGGATCTATAACTTTACACCACCTTCGAACGGCAAATGGAAGGACTGCCATTGCCTGCCAATGCGCGACCGCTGTTAGAAAAACTTTTCCTAATTTGGAAGTCGGTTGGCCCAGGAACAACCGAGTGGTAGTACGCACCCTTAACCACTTAGCTGCAGCGGCTCCCGCCTAATGCGGATGTGTAAAATGACGTTGAGCAGCACTACCAGCCTCAGCCGAATCGGGAAGGATCTGTCGAATCGAATCTTAAGTGCGACTACCGACTTACTTAATTTGATGCTGGAGAAGATAATAAGAATTGCAGAGCTGAATCGGTCTGGTACAAACTTTTGAAGAGCGCATAATTATTGTAATGCGGTCATGCCATAGGGATTGATACAAACGCCCCACTCCTGAAATTATTCAGCATGGTATCCGCTGGTGATTGCAGAGGAAGACCTTCTCTGCGGGGAAAAGGCCAAAGGACTTGGTTTCACTTGGCATCACCAGTTGGCTTCAGTTGGGACAGAAAAGAAACTGCTGGCATGCATTATTCAACCCGCCCAAAATCGCGGAGGGGGTTCCAGAGCATCCAGTTTGGTTTGCTGTCTCGAAGAGTTTGTCTTCACTTGAAAGTATTTCAGAACTTTGTGAGG